GCCCTACAGAGACACTGACGCTGTACACCAGCTCTACAGAGACACTGACGCTGTACACCAGCCCTACAGAGACACTGACGCTGTACACCAGCCCTACAGAGACACTGACGCTGTACACCAGCCCTACAGAGACACTGACGCTGTACACCAGCTCTACAGAGACACTGACACTGTACACCAGTCCTACAGACACTGATGCTGTACACCAGCCCTACAGACACTGACGCTGTACACCATAGACACTGTATTCACTGTACACCCTGATATCATATACACACTTTAATTGCACTCTGAAAGTCTAAAGAAGTCGTAGGATGAAGAAATTAGCAGCAGATTGTGAAATATGAACTTGGCACTCAGGTGTAACAGTCTGGACTTATTCCAGTTGGTAGTGGGCAGAAAGAGTCCTCTGGCGCCCTCTTGTGCTCAGATGTTTCATCATTTAACTGCCAAAACCTCTACTGTTCTTCCATAGAGAGAGGAGGTCACTCCAGGTCAGATGCCATTATTATTATCTGTCCATCCATTTCTAAACACTTCTTCCAATTCAGGGTTTGCTAGGGAGCCGGAACCTATCCCAGTAAGCAACGGGTGCAAGGCAGGGTACACCCTGGGCAGGACACCAGTCCACTGCAGGCCAGACAGACACACACTTTTCCCAGAAACCAGTAATCCCCTCAGTATGTCTCTGTACTGCTGGAGGAAACCGGAGCACCTGTAGAAAATCCACGCGAACACGGGGAGAACATACAAACTCCACACAGACTGCACCCCAAGAACCGAACCCGGGGCTCCAGCCTGCTACTGAATAGGGTGTCCTTGGGGGTGACTCCTGTGCTGATCAATAAGCCTTGTTCAGTGCAATGTCACAGTGTCAGGGACACGAGTCTCTGACCACAGAGACTCTCAGAGACTTTCAGAGTCTGTTAGAGTGGACACATCTGAATCTACAGGAAAGACTGCTTAGAGCCACAGCACCGAGAGCTCATGGTTTCTGAGCTGCACAAAGCACAGGGAATGATCAGCTAACGGCTACAGGGTGTGGATATTCCTCTCCGTCTGCCTCTGGATTATAAAGAGATTATTACAGTAAGCCTGTGTCAGTGGTCAGAGGTGTCCATAACACGCTGTTGAGCGCTAACCAGGACAAAACAGACACAACGTGTCTGCATGACATCTCCACACACGAAGCCGTATTGCTGGTGGCCTGGAGACTTTTTTATGCAGTGAAGCACTCGGGGGTTGATTAATGTTCATTAACCCCGGGGTATCGATCTGTCTGTCTCTTCTGGAGGGGCAGAAGTACTCAGGGCCGGGGAACAGGCTCTGAACCATGGCTTCATTCAGCCCCAATAAACCCGCTGTCCAGCTGTTACTGGCTGTGTCCAGCGGAGTCATTTCACGATCATTTCGAAGAAACATCAGAATCTCCTCCAGGACCAGATTCCTTCGGTGAACCTTCACTTCCTACACTGATCAGATGCCCAAACAAGTGTTCCAGGGGATTTGGGGTGACCTGTATTAATAGCTGCACTGGGACTCTTCGGGACCAGAGCTGGACATCCCTGTACTGGCCAGACCAGAGCTAGAGACCGCTGTACTGATCGGTCCAGAGCTGGACATTCCTGGACTGACTGGACTGGACCAGAGCTGCAGACCCCTGTACTGACCAGACCAGTGCTGGAGACCCTGTACTGATCGGACCAGAGCTGGACATTCCTGGACTGACTGGACTGGACCAGAGCTGCAGACCCCTTTACTGACCAGACCAGTGCTGGAGACCCTGTACTGACCGGACCAGGGCAGGAGACCCCTGTACTGATCAGACCAGAGCTAGAGACCGCTGTACTGATCGGTCCAGAGCTGGACATTCCTGGACTGACTGGACTGGACCAGAGCTGCAGACCCCTTTACTGACCGGACCAGTGCTGGAGACCCTGTACTGACCGGACCAGGGCAGGAGACCCCTGTACTGACCAGACCAGTGCTGGAGACCCTGTACTGACCGGACCAGGGCAGGAGACCCCTGTACTGACCAGACCAGAGCTAGAGACCCTGTACTGACCGGACAAGGGCAGGAGACCCCTGTAGTCGCTACACCAGGGCTGCAGACCCTGGACTGACTGGACCAGGGTTAAAGACTGCCCGCAGCAGGAACCTATCCTTACACGCACAGCGGTGATGTCATCGAGTTGCACGTGCAGGTGGGACCTCCGGTGCTTGTCGTGGATGACGTCACGCTCCGTGTCCCGTGCCAAGCCAGTGGCCTCGGACCACAGCAGCCGCCATGCGCCGCGGAGGGGGTGGGACCGGCTCCGCTCACTGCGGGGCTGCCACCTCCAAGTAACCCGGCCGGGCCGCGGGCCGACGACGGGCCGTCGCGTCCTCTTCCATGAAACACCCACCCACCCACGATCGCCACTTGTTCAGTGAAGACCAAGCCCGCCTGTTGCTCTCTCCACAAGTGAAGAGCACCCCAGGGCGAGTGACCCCCCCCACACCCCCACACCGCCGCCCCTCACAGAGGACAGACGCGGCTGCGATTCCGCAGGGACACTCCACGAGGTGCTGGACACGGGGCGTGGGGCCCCTCTCTCGCAGACAGCGGGGCTGGGCTGCTCTGGGCCGATACTGTGTGTGTGTGGACCGGCTTGAGACCTGGCTGATGTCCAATAAACGCCTTTCTTCTCTTCACGCTTCACATTCAGGGCAAGAGTCGCCTTTACGACCTAGCGCCGCGCGTCAAAACATAAAACGGGTGGGAGACGGGACAGGCGCGCTCGCGCTGCGGTGAAAAACCACCCGTGGGCGCCCCGGCGAGTGTCTTGCGACAAGAGCAGCTTCTACGGGTGCAGGAGCCTGCAATTAGGGCCACCAACTCACCTGCTGTCCGGGCTGAGCCATCATGTCGCCCCCGGCCCCCCGCGTCCGGCGGATTCCGCTCCAGGCGAACTTCTCAGCGCTGGGGCTAAACTCCCAAGACACCTCGAAACTGGACAACACGTCAGCCCGACAGCCGCGACCGAAGGAAACAGAGACGAGAGCGCATCGTGCGCTCCCGGAGCCGAGGATAAAACGAAGACGCACTCCTCGTCTCAGTTGGAAAAGAAGTTTGTTTGTTTTTTCTCCGCCGGCTGTGTGGTTCGCCGGCACTCCGAGCGCCGCGTGTCAGAGAGCCGCCGGGAGGTACTGACTCCTCGCGCCGGCTGAGAGAGGCTGCGCTCTGCCTCCGCCGCTCCGTCGCGCGCCGTTCGGACCCACAGCCTCGCGACCGCAGTGTGGAGCGGAGCGCGCTCGGGGACGGCCTCTCGCTGGCGCTCAGCGCGACTGAACTAGAGAGAGGGAGGGGGGACTGGGGAGGGGGGGAGGAGGGGATGACACAGGGACAGGGAGAGAGGGAGGGGAGAGACCCGGCCCGGCTGTGCGATATGACAGCGCTTCTACAGACCTTCACGTACTGTGCTTTTACCGCGATTCTTTTGTGCTTTACAGCGCTGTACTGCGCTTTTACCCTGATTTCACCGGGCTTTATTGCACTGTACTGTGCTTCAATCCAGATGTCACTGGGCTTTACATTATTGCACTTTACTGTGTTTTTATTCTGATGTCCCTGGACTTTACAGCACTTTACTGTGCTTTTACCATGATTTTGCTGGGAGAATAAGCTCTGATAGACAGCACTGAGAGATCACAGCAGAGTGAGCACTGACTGGAGGAGA